CATGGTGATGCATATGGACTCGTGTCAATTAATGTCAGGTAATGTTTCTTTTATTTCATCAATGATCATATATACTTGATGAAAACTCAAACATGAAACTCTTGAAAAGTTCAAGTGATTCACACTAGAATTAGAGAAATAAATAGGTAAAGATACCCTCACATTAAAATTAGATCAAGTGAGAGTATCTTAAAGATAAAATCTAGATTATCTAAGAGAGAATGAGATTCTTTCACAGTGGACTCCTTCATATACACTGCAGCAAGGTTATGTTTCTAAAAGGAGGAATCGTTAATTATTAGATATAATGCGATTAATAACAAGTCATGCAAATCTCCCAAAATTATTTTGGAGTAATGCATTGATTGCAGTGTGCAACATATTAAATCATGCCCCATCTAAATTGGTTAATAGACTCCATACGAGTTATGGAAAGACAATAGTCTCAATTTATTTTATGTGAAAGCTTGGGACCATGACGCTTATTTGAAGCGCCTTGAATCAGATAAGTTTGATGCTAAATTTGATAAATACGTATTTGTGGGGATATTCAAAGCAAACATTTGAATATTAATTCTATTATTATGAAGAAAGTCTTCGTCTCACGACATATCGTCTTCTTAGAGAAAATATTTACTCTAAGAGATGACAGTGGGAGTAAAATAGAATTTGAAAGAGTTCAAGAGTCCACAGATATAGTTAACCAAGTAGATAAATCCGAGTTTGATCCCATATTTGATATGGGACATACTTTAGATCAGGAAGTAAAGACTCCTAAGGACATGACAGCTCTATGTGAATCTAATAGGATCATTCGACTTTCAAGAAGGTGCGAATCCATGATCATTAATCAGGTATTAGTGATCCAGGATAATGAACCTGCTAGTTGCAACAAAATAAAGTCAAGCGTTGATTTAAAAGAGACAGCATGAGGCCATGATACTCGAGATGAACTCGACGTATGTGAAGAAGGTTTAGACTTTGGTAGAGCCTCCTAATGGAATAAAACTCATAAGGTTTTGTAAATAGTTTACAAGGGAAGGGTCGATGTGGATGTGAATATCTATATATATAGAGCAAGGCTAGAAGTAAAGGTTAAGTGTTAACCTTGGTGAAACCTTTTTCCTGTGGCTTTGCTGAAGTCCATTCGGGTTTTATTTGCAATAGTTGCATATCTTAACTAAAGTTTAAGATAAGTCTCTATGGAGCTGAAATCTTCAATTTGATGGAAAAAGTCAAAGTGTTTGATTTTATCAAATTTGACGACGAATTGTATGTTTACAAGAAGATAGTAGGAGCATTGTCGTATTCCTAATATTATAGAAAATGACATTCCTATGTTTCAATCGTTGAAATAATGGTTGTTAAAGGATTTATTCATGAACGATATGAGATAAGCAACTTGATCTATAGAGGTAGATCTAGAAGATTGCTTAACTCATCCCAATTTACATAGATGAAATCTTGAGAAGATTTCATATGGAGAAATTGGTTTATTCTTAAGCGGTATGTTGGAAAGGTTCCAAATGTGAAGCAACTGTTGATTCAATAGTAGAAACCTAATACATTATTACTTCAGAAGTAGCAAAGAGTTGCAATCTGGATCATGATGTTCATAAATGAACTTGGAGTAGTTCCTAATATTGTTGATCATATACCATTGTATTATGATAATAATAGAGCCATTGTGAAAGCAAATGAACTAAGGTCTCATCAATGATCCAAACATATATTAAGGCGGTATAATCTCATTAAAGAGATAATACATAGAAATGACGTAAAGAGAAGAACAAATTCCCACATTTAACAATATTGCAGATCCACTGCATAAACATGATCGTCATATAGACTTATGATATTGGATACACAAGTGATTGGATCTAGTGCAAGTGTGAGTTTGTAAGTATTATGCCCTAGGTCCAATCAACTTTGGACATAAATACTTTTGATATATAATTAATGAAATTTAATGGCAGATCTATTATCTAATTAATAGACAATTAAATAAATAATAGAGTTCGTAGATTCAAATTTTCGTAATTTGTTAATCACAAAGAGTTGTGATTGTGAGATACAAATTACATTTGATTGAATCTTAAATCGTCCGTGGTCGTAAGTAATAACGAGATACGGATATTATTATTACGGATATACCATCACGTGTGACATTTCTTACTTGTGAAGTAAGTAGCTGATGTCACAAGCTAAAGTGTGGTGACACTTAAATGACACGTGGATGTTTTGTTATAGAACAAAACATTGGAGACCTGCCGAGAGATTCTACAAGGATAACTATCTGAGTATCTGTGGTTAATCTCTAAAGTTCGGTAGTGGAATTGGTCCTTTGACTTGAGGTCTTCATGGTACCTTATATGAGGACAGTCATACTTTGGCGGTATTGGATGTTGTTATGCAAAGGGCCGCTAATACGACATCGTTTGGGTATGTCAAGAATCGTATGAAGGTTATGATTGATCAATAAAGGATTCGTCGCTCTAAGATAGTAGGAGATTATGATATGCATTTCATTCAATTAAGTCGATGATGAAAGCCTTGGCCAAGGCGTACTTATAAGTCGAAAAGGAGTTTTTGACTTATATTGACTTAATAGTGGAGTGAAAGATATGATCGATGATCGAGATTGACACACTTCCATATCTCGTAATTGATCGGATCATATTGACGAAGGGATTATAGTTTCACGGTAAACAAACGAGTTTGATTTTGTCACACCACATGATATTTCCCGTCACATGTATTCCCTGACACATTGATAGATGTCAATTAGGGACGGCGAGTGTGAATTGAAGATAAATTAAAATGGTGTTTAATTTATCAATTTTGATTAGATCAAAATAATATTTCACGTTGTTAGGCATCGTGGTCGGGATCCTAATGGGTCGTACACAAAAGAGAATTGGAAGATTGCAAATTGCCAATTGGTTAAATTAACAATCGTTGGATAAATTAATTAATTGGACTTGTTATTTATATTTTCGAAATAATTAATTGGATTAATTAATTCACGGACCGGATTTAATTAAATGGATTAATTAAATATTGGATCGGACCGGACCAGACTGGACCGAGCCCGTTTGGGTTTATATAAATACATGGCTAGGGTTTGAGGTCCATATGGTTTTCATTATTCTTGTTGGCACAAGAGAAAAAATCCTGGTAACTGCAATCTTATTCTCTGTGTGGATCACCATTGGATGTTGGACAATTGGACCGCTATGAGTGACGAATCAAGATTGTTGGAAAGAAAAGAAAAGTAAAAGGTTTGCAGAATTCGTCAAAGGTACAATCTTTATCACGATTTCTATTTAAACACAAAGGGATCTTCAGTGGGAATCGAAATAATTTTAATTTTCTGCTGTGCATGTATAAGTAGATTCCCAACAGAAAGGTGGTAATGTGGTTTTTTTATCATTATTTGTGGTCCTTTTTTTTTTTTGGTGAATTTGGTGGAGGTAAAGCTTGTGAGTTTTGCGAAGATATTGGTTTAGGTTTCTTTGTATCGGGAAGAAGAATGGGCTTTAACTTCTTTTCCCATTTTTCAAGTGTAAAAAGTGAAGCCGTGTATCCAAAAGCTCCAGTTGAATACATTGATCCTGAAGTTTGAGAGATATGAGTATATGGAGTTGGATGGTACAGAATGGAAGGTATGATCATCGTTTTCAAGAGAAACCCATTACAATTATGCCTCAATTAAAGGTACAAAAATATACAAGCTCTATCTAATTATATACTCAATGATATCTCAACAAAAAAGAATTGAGTCAAACTTTGAATTTGAAAGTTCCTAGAAAGAAGTAAAAGAACCAACAACTCTAACAAAAGAAAGGATAAGTTATCCATTATTTGAACCTTTTGATGGAACTATTTCAAAACCTAAATTGGGAAATCAAAATTTGTTAACAGAGTATTTTGGCAAAAATGTCAAAACAACTTTCAAAGTTAAATGCGCCAAAAAATGTAAACATGGTCGACTCAATTGAAGAACTAAAAAGCAATTTGAAGTAGAAACTTTTCACATAAATAAAATTTAAAATCAAAATTATTCAAGAATTCTAAATCACTATTCGAAGCCTTCTTTTCTTGGCATGCAATATGCGGAAAAGAAAAAGAGACAAGTCTCTTATACTGGAGAGGATATTATCAAATGTAATATTGATAGAATGACAAATGTCAAATTATTTAAGTCATTGAAAATATTTCCATCTTTTTGTGACTTATTGATGCAAAGATATTCCAGATGACATTGCCTTCAACAATATTATTATTGGTCTTTCAAGACAAATAAAGGCTAGTAGAGTAATTATCTCAATCTGAAGAAAGAAAAAAAGAAGTTTATAATGCTAGAAAATCTAATCGTCATAATGACAACATAAATACTTTCTTAAAAGTTGTTACTAAACACTTCCTTGTTAACCCAATCTTTCATCATGAAAGATCATCGGAAGTTTTGATGAACCTTACATGTCCAAAAGCTTTATGATTTTTGTTCGATATTAAAGTGCAAATCGCAAGTGTATGGGTCACGTTCAAGCAATTAATTGGACTTTTTTAGTCCAAATTATCAATCACTCGATAAATATTTATTTTAGATCATATAACTTTAATCAATTTAATTTTAACAATAAAAACGAATACACAATAAAATTATGACGTTGGAAAATATGGAAAATAACAAAAATTCTACAAAATAAGAAAACAAAACACTTGGAAATTTTTTAGGAAAATGTGGTTGGGATTCATGATTTCGTCTAACCATCACATAATTAACTTTTCAACAAGCCGATTAAAAAATTACCCATTTACGATATGGAAAATGCTATTGGTACCTTTTGGGTTACACGCTGAGCTGGAGGTGTAATTAAAAAAAATGAAACAATTGATAAATTGGGTCGGGTCATTAAATTCGAAAATGGCGGAGACAAAGCGGGTCGATAAAAAGCAATTTTGCCCGCAAATTCAACAAAGAGGAGCCAAAAATTTAGACGACACTGTGTAAGATCGACCAACGCTCGAAGACGTTGTTCTTCCAACTTGAAGCAGTCGACGTCGCCGAAGGTTGCCTAAGAAAGAGTTCTACCAGACGAAATAGTTCGACTACAGAAGAAATAGTTCTACCGGTGCGACGAAGACGTAAGAGACTGCGTAAGAAAGAGTTTTACATGCGCTCCATTGAAGCAATGGCTGTGACATTTGAAACTTGGCTATGGAAGAAAGAGTTCCTCGGTCTTGAAGCTGCCACGCACTTCCCAGATTCGAGCAGATTTGAGTAGATGACGAACAACGGTATTTTCCTTAATGAAGACGGACTAGATAATCAAATTTAAACTTTTCATCTTAGATGACAATATTTCCCTGCCTTTAAGCTTCAAAATATGATTACATGATATAATAAAATTTGATGCACACAGATGAAGAAGGAAGATGAAAGCCACACCATAATATTTTACTTCATACATTTTACAATGGTTGTGTGTACATTTATAGGTAAAAGTTCAAGCTATACATGGTAAAATGAAATTTGTAATGGAACTAAACATTGGATTGATTTCTGTGATTAGCTTGCTTGATTTCTGTGATTGCTTGGCTTGATTTTTGTGATTGCTGTGATTGGTGTAATATGATATTTCACTATGAATCAAAAATCAATTAAATGGTCAATTAATTGTTCACCCTATTCTATCAAACTAAAATAGAATTAGGGGAAAGCTTAAATTTTTCACCCATATGTTGTGAATTTTGTTAAGAATTTGTTGATTATGGAGAAAGAGGGAATGAAATGTGTCATTGGTTTTGTTACTGCAGGCAAGGAAATTGTGAAAGAGGCGGATGACGTCATTCTATTACAGTCCCAAACTGACAACATTTTGGAAAGTGAGAAAGTCGTGGATGATGGAATTGAAGGGGTAGACAGTGTGATTGTGCCTGCTGTGGGTATAAAGTTCAACATAATACAGTTTCTTAAATGCTTTACCATTGCGAGATGCAGATTCTTATAGGTGGCTATAAGAGGAAGACAACTTCATGCAGATTCTGTGCACTGTCAACACCTTGGATTTGGCTTGTTGAGGCATGTGAATAGCTTGATCAAGCAGTTAATGTATTAGGTTTTATGTCCATCATGTCTCTGTTATGTCCAACTGTAAAGACTATGTTTGGTCTGATGTTATGCAGTTAATGTAGTCAGTTTTGATGACTATGTTTGGTCTGATGTTATGTAGTTAATGTAGTCAGTTTTGAGGCTTGTCAATACGTTGGGATTAATTGTATTGATCTTGTTAAAATTATTCCCAAACAGTTGTAGCAACTTCCGTTCAACAGCATAATTAAGATTGAAGCTTAAAGCAACATCATTTTAGTTCACCAGCAGCATATTCAGTTTACCAGTAGCATTTTAGTTTGTTTTGGTGTTTATTTGAGTTCTAATGCTGTCTTCAGTTAACTTCAACAGAGGTACATTCAGTTCGCCACTTTGCCTGGGTTGATGTTAACTGAAAACTGGAGACAAATTCTCCCTGCATTCACAGCTACTTCACATTCACAACCACCAAAATTCTCCCTGCATTCATAGCCACTTCACATTCACAGCCACCAAAATTAACACCAACAAATGAAGGACTAATAATGAAGTCATATTAACATTAGTGAATGAATTTACAGTGTCTTCCTACATACAAAAGTGAAGAACACAAATTTAGGATTCATAATTCCCCAAAGCAACATTCTGTCCTCAATTTTATAGCCACCCTACTGCACTCCAACTACACATAACATAACACTCTATACCTACAAGAACACATACTACACATCATAAGTACCAGGAAGCGAAACTAATGATAACACAACTATTACTCAAGTTTTCCCTTCCCTTTCTTATCCAGTTCAGCACTTTCGTTGACCTTGCAAATTGTCACAGTCACTTGAATCTCAAACTTTTCTTCTTCTATAACCCGATAACGAGTTTCGAACATACGAACAAACTCTTGATCTTCTTCAGCCGCTGCCGCAAGATTATTCACGTTCATTTTAACACCACTTGACCCGCTTGTTTCTCCTTTCTCGACCTATTCACAATATTTACATTTAGCACTGCAACAATTGAACACTTTTCCCTTGTTTTCCGTCTCCTTCTCGACCTCAAAGCACTTCACAAACCCAATTTTACACCAAGGGCAGTGATGTTTTTTCGAGCATTCCGCAAAGAAGTGACACTTCTCGACAACTATGGCATACTCCTGAGTTCCTCCCTGGCATGCTGCACACGAGCAAAGACATATTTTCACTACAGTACACAACAACCACAACCCACCGTACAATCTTTGAACGATTGTATCATTCAAAAATTGTAAAATCAACAAAAATGGAAACCAAATGAATCATGCTTACATTAATTTTTCTACGCGATTCCTCAGGAGGCGATGCTTTGCGTTCAAAAGGACGAATTTTTGATGGAGTGTACGACTTTGACCAACGTTTTCACTTCCAAGAGCTTCTCTCTAGTTTCGGGAAAGAGTGAAAATGAGATGATTAGGAATCTTCGTCGGAGGCGATGGATTGCATTTCAAAGGAAGAATTACCACGAGCAATCGAAGCTAGCTTCGATCTCCATTTTCGCCTCTAGGGTTTTGACAGATTTGGGGAATATGAAATGAGAGGGAGAACCCGATTGAGGGTTATGTAACTGGGCCGGTTGGCCGGTTCAAGTTTTTGACCCATTTCATTTGTTTTAAAATTTGAATTCCCATCCCTACCACGTTAGCGTGTAATCCTCTGTGTCAATAGGCGTGTACCATAGCAGGATTGTTACGATATAAGATTTAATTTTTCAAGTTTAGCTAATTACCTTCTTGAGCGAAACTAACCCTAATTGATTAGTTTAAAGTATATCTCTATGTTGATTAACAACAAACAATCGCATTAAATTTTTATGAAAATAGTTCAATGGGTCACATGAGATTAATGGTATATCTCTATCCCCTATGATAACCTAGGGTTTCAACTATTTGATCTAATATGTACAATCTTCTCTCGAACGTTGTATAAATCATTAAATATAATAATTCATTGGTCACATAAATGAAAATACAATAATAACAATAGTAAAAACACATGAAAATAAATACGACATTAAATAACAAAATTGACATTAATAAAAGATAAATTAAACTACATCATGAACCCAACATCAAGAATTTAGATCATACTATATAAATTCAAGAGAAAATTGAAACACCCTTTTTTAAGATTGCCATAGATTAAACTTGAGTTTTTCCCAAAATCTCTTCCTCTTTCTTTGAGTTTTCTCCTTTTGTTGCTTTAATTATTCTCCAAAATACCTAAAAAAAAAAAATGAAAGGAAAAATGAAGAAAAAAGAAGAAGAAAGAAAATCAAAATAGAAATTAAGGCCCACAAAATATCAAAAAATTGAAAGAGAAAATGAAAGGAAAGAATAGAGGAGGAAGACCCCAGACTGCGGCTACCGATTTTAATATTAAACTTAGAAAATTTGCAGTCAAGTCTCTGAAATTTCTGACAAAGAAAATTTGCAGTCAAGTCTCTGAAATTTCTGACAAACAGAAAAACAGTCCCCAATGACTTTGAATTAGGCGTCTAGGCGCTTTTAATATTAAAACCCAGAAAATTTACAAACAATCCCTGAAATTTTTGACAAACAGCAAAACAGTCCCTAATGAATTTAAACTAGGTGCTACAATGCCACCTTGTTGTCAAAAATATCAGTTGGTTCCATTTTTGTACCCAAGTCATCCAGATAATTGTGCATCAGTCCCTCAACTTTGATTTAGTACAATTTGGTCCTCGAATTTTGACTTTCATATCATTCATGCACTCCAAAATTGCAACCCCAAGTCCTTGAACTTTTTAACTTGTGTACTTTGGTCCATTGTCACAATTTTGTACACTTTTAGTCCATTTTCACTTCCTTTTGTCTTGTTATATTTCTTTAGATGATTTTTATCTACAAAAATAATAATTACATAATTGTAAGTAGAAACTTGCTCCTTTAATCAATGTTTAAGATTATTTAGATATTAAATAAGTATGTAAAAACATACTTATCAATACTCACAAACTTGAGCTTTTGTTCATTCTGAGCAAGATTATCTACAACACAATCAAGCAACAATTTACAACAATCAACACATTAGATGACTTGCAAATTATCTAAGTATAAAATAGAATAATCAATTCACAAATATGCTCCAAATAATAATAACAAAAATAATTTAAGCTTATCCAATGTTCGATCAGTGTGTGTGGGTATGCATAGTCATTTTCAATCATTATCTAAATTAGGAAAAATTTGTTAAGACGGAAAAAATTTCAAATTAGTTCAAACTCAACCCTTAGTGGCCAAATGTTTCCTTTCCCACTCGTGAGATTCACAAACTCAAATAGAAATTCATTTTCTTTCCCCAGGTATAAATCTAAAGGTTATTCTCAAATCACTATTTCTTTTCCCACTCTTATTCGGTTGGACCCAACCGACAATCTCAACATCTAGACATATGATGATTCTCTACTAATGAGTGCTTCCACATTCAAGTTTCTACTAAGTAATTCAAACCTACTTGAGTAAAAAAGGCTATGAAATGAGATTTAAGATTCAACAAGAGCAATATCATTCTTTTAATCACGACTTAACACATGAGACTTAGATCCCTAGCGTATGGTCCTTACCTAGTTTATACTTGTTAGAAAAAGACGTTCCACACAATTTTTTTTTTTTAAACTTGCACGGAATCAACACTTTCTAGAAATATCATTCACTAACTCGACCACCCCAAGTTTATCTCACAACAAGATTAAGTGAAAGAGCAGATACTATAGGATTGATAGACATTTAAATACAACTCAAACCTAGTTCTACCAAATAAAAAATCTCTCCATCAATCAAAATTTTCCACATCTTTATAACAATTAACTTGAAATCTTACATGAACAAACAAAATTTTTCAGAAAGTTCAAGCACAAATAGCATAGTTAGTCGTACATAACTCATGAATCAATAACTATTTTAAACATCAAACAATCCTAAGCTGGCAAGGCTTATCTAACATGTAAAAACAAAATCACAAATTTAAGCACAACCACCCCAAAATGTAAATTACAAATTGTCCTTAGTGTCTAAAGAACAAGATAAAATAGAAGATAGGGTAACGAAACTTCCTCGATCAAAAATTTGGTAAAGAGGTACCAATGCTCTACTTGGATCTGTTATGCTTTTAATAAACTTGGACAAGTGTCATTCATGTACACAATTTACCCCAAAACTTGTTAGAAAGTATGGATATGTGGGACTTCAAATTACCTATAAAAAATGATAGCTAATTAAATTAACGCATGAAAATACATACAAGTAAACAAAAAAGCTTAAAAGTTAAAAAAAAATTGGGTTGCATCCCAATAAGCACTTTTTTAAAGTCTTTAACTCGACTTTGTCAATTGAATCACGGGCATCTCAAGAAGGCTTTAGATGCTTTGTCCATTTTTCTTTGTTTGGCTTTGTTCCAGTTTTGTTTAATCTCCAAAACTCGACATTGGCAATTTCCATATAAGATCACTTGCCTAATCCATCCGCTTCAAATTTAACTATGAAGACCTCTATCTCCTTGACATGTTTAATCATAAAATCAATTTCTTAGCAATCAATGTAGTGGGAAAAATGTAAGTTGATTTTCTCTTTCATTGATTGCTATATTTTCGTTTAGCTCCGTCGTGATTGATTTTTTGCTCTCTTCAAACTCTTCTTCAATAATTGATATTTCATCTAATTGAATGAGCGGTCCATAATTTACATCCACGGACGATGACAAGTCGGTTTCATTGACTCCTTCAAATGGATTGTACCCCCATTGTTGAAATTATTCCCAATACATATAATCTCCCCCATAAGCATATCGCTTTCATTCAACAAGGTAAGTTTTTAAAAATACTTTGCAAGTATCTTCTCGTTTAATAGAGGAAGGCCATCTCTCGCAAGTTTGATGTCCTCATCCCAATTGTAAGGTACAAAATATCCCACAAGCATGTACCTTTCATCATTTTTCTCAATTGCTTTTTTTTTTTTTTTTGACATTTTAAGTATTTTCTAGACCTAAGAAGTTTCGACGTATGTAAACTAGTGTATGAGAACAAGCATGGCTCAATACCATACATCGTGTAATAATTTTTACAACTTGGATATTGCATATCTTCATAACCCATATAGAGATTATCCGTTACAAAACTTTCGTTACTTTATCACTATTAGAACCATGCATAAATATCTGAAAAAGTACGAAGAGAAAATACCAATACAAGATAGATTAAAACTATAGGGGTT